GAGGGGTTGATAGTACGGCTCTGTTGTATTATAACCTGAGAAATTATTGAGATGCTTTCATTAACATCCGATGGCATAAACTGCCTTGTAATACCACAAGCTCAATAAATTCGAATCTTGAAAGGGTGCTAAAGGGACATTTTCAACAAATGCGGTAATGCAGCGAACATCAAAATCTGAAGTTCTGAACATCGCACTCAGAAACAAATACAAGAGTCATGCAGATGAAAGGCTCCAAAATTCTTGCACAAAGAGTCGAAGATCTATCAGATGTATCAGAGATCGACATAACTTTGATGGATTAGAAGATATGGAATACTTTGCTCCGGGTAACAAGAATCTAACTCGCCAACGTCTCATTTCGTATTCCGCAGGGTCACAAATCCCACCGCGTGAACTATTAGACAAGCTGGAGGGGCTTTGCTGCGACCATAGCAGAACTTATCGGGCTCTGTTGACAGTTTTGAAGAGTATTAAGCCTAGTTCAATGCTAGGTCAGTTAATTTTCACCACAGAATATTACCTCTTGTACTTACCTAAATGAAGCACTGTGGTTGTGATAGTCGTAGGAAGGAAAGACGGTGCTCTGCAATTATCAACAGCTTGCGATTCGTAGATTGCGATGGTGTTGAATTCCAATTCTGTATTGAAATTGTTTCTTTCAACTTAGGCATGGATTCATGGCAAGTGAAATATTCAGACACGGTTTGTCTGGAAGATGATAAATGACCCGTGCAGTTCTGCACCTTTGGTAGATCATTCACTTCTAGTTGCGAATAGAATACTCATTCAATAAAGGACGATGGCAAAGACTCTGTAGAATTCTCAAGCAGATCAAGGCGCGTGGGCAGTGAGCGAGGAATTTTTGCTGCCGTAGTTTAGTGTCTTCGATAATATGTGCTGTCATCCAGGGTGTGGATCGGACTCACATCGTTAAGTTAAATTGATATAGCATCAATGTATAATTGTGCCGAAGAAATGCTATTTCCCGTCTCGAGGACCCCAGAGAATGCTGAAAGAAATCCCGCTATATCTAGGAACATAAGTTATGAATAATTGGCTTGGGAAGGTGATGGGTATTTGTAAAGAACGGAACGATTAGATTTAGTCTGTTGGCTGTTAGCATAAAAGAGAGCATACAATACAAGCAACAAAGACTAAAGTATATAGAATCTTAGATTTATAATGGATACAAGGGCGTTTGCCTTCAACTTCACATTGAGATGTATGCATCCATCATTATGGACTTGTTCCCAATCAGGAGTTTAGAGTCCATTTTCTGCTGATATTATGATATAATATTGTGATTGTGTAAAATGTGTGAATATTCTGACAATTGTTAAACAGACGCAAAACGCTTCCAATTCTCAGCCAATTTAGTTACACCATCTTCGAGGTCCCAACCTTTGATCTCGCAGATCTTCCGACACATATCCTCCAACAGATTATCCATTTTTTCGCCAGCAATATGAAGATCACTCTCAACAAGAACACGATCATCAGGCACAGCTTTAATGACTTCAATTGCTTTAGCACTAGCTGGTGAGGACATGTTTATGGCTGCTGAAAATGAAAAGAATATCTCAGCTGGGACTGAACCATGGAAATATTGATTGAGAGTGTCCGGTGGTCCAGAATATGAATGGAGACAGATACGCGGAGGGAATGGTTTTTCTGTCTCATCTTTTGATTCATCTTCTTCGTCATCTGTATCATCCAAGGCAGGCGCTACTCCAGCAATTCTTTTCTTCTCTCGTTTGCTGAGGACTTGCCGTTCATGACCCTTCCAAGTCTCTTGTAAGGTGTCAAACAGGACGCCGTGCGCTTGCACTCCATGAACGGACACTGATCTCTGCATTTCACCTGCAAGCTTCAATTGGGCCTTGAGTATCACCTTTTGATGGCTCATTTGAACTCGATACGACGTAAGACGTCGCCCTTCTCTTCCACCGGGTGTGAGGCCTGCATCTCTAGAGTTCTCAACATCTCCGGACCACTCGCTCGGTAAACGAAATTGCTTGTCTAGTCCAATTTCTCCTACAAGTGCCAGCGGATACTGCAGAAGATACTCTTTGGTTTGACGCAGAAATTGCGTAAGGGGGCGAGGAGATGGTAATGACACCAGAAACTGTTTGTCGTTGGGGCTCGGCGTCAGAACTTTTCCATAATGCTCGATTTTGAAAGCTTCAGTGTCGAACAGAGAGTAATCAAATGATTCTTTGGTATCATCAAATATTTGATATGAGAACCAAGGATGCCATCCGAAACAAGGAATCATGCATTCTGTATTTGAATGGTCCTTTGCTTGCAGCTTTTTCAAACCATAAGTATCAGCAACTTGAGCAACAAGCGCTTGATCTTGTGCTCTAGTAGCCATTACTGTTAGAATTCTTGCTTTCATTAAAGGCATCGATTCGATAGAATCCATGGTATCTGTTGGATGGCAATGTGCATCATAAACACCAATGTGCCAAGGGAACTCAGCATTTTTCGCCATTCCAACTGATCCAATTAGGGTAGATTTCATATAGGGGGGGATATGAGACAACAGTCTCTAATTTCTCTATGGATTTATACCTTGTGGAGAGACGTGAGGTCAAAACACACAAATAGATCTTCAATTCCAGACGTCGCCTAGTAGACTGAGTGCGGCCGCATTGCCGCACAGACTCCGCAAGCATATCACCCCACCACATATTTCACATGCAAATCATACCAAACCGAGCCAAACAAAGCGCTACTTGATATCTATCCCATCATCATGAACACATTTACTTTGGAAACAATCTCCGTATCAATTGCTTTCGCTGAATATGTCTTGAAATTTTGACTAATTGGTTGAAGTCATGAAGTTATTCAGCGCTTTTTACGCCGTCATTTTACCTTTCCTCTTCTTTTTCACATTTCCAATCGCAGTGTTCGCGACTATCACTACATCTTTCGCTTTCTGTGTCCTCTGCTTTCGAGTCGCGATTGTATACATTGAACTCGCCCTTGCAGTCATTCCATACTATATCTGTGGGTCCAAAGCTGAAATTACAATTGCACAATCCAAAAGAGCAATTTACAACCCTCCAAGCTCGCCTATTCGTCGTAAGAAACGAAGGAGCAGCGCTAGCAGCGGTCAATCAGCTACTGGTTCAATCACGCCAGTACCGCCTCGTATCTTGAAGGGCTCAGCATCAATGCTTGGATTGGGTCAAAGTGTTGGGCCTTCCAGAGATTTCGAAGGTGTAGGTGGATGGCGTCTGGGCGATAGCGGATCTGACGATGATGCGCTATGGACGAATATGAATTCTAGGCTAGAACTCCCCGCAAATCACGGGAGAAGACATCATCAGCGATCTTTGACATCTGGCAGTCTCCCCTCAGAAGAGCTGAGAAGTCGAAGCCCGGAGACGACAATGAATTCATCAAAGGCTAGAACACCGCCCTCAATTGGGTTGGGGTTGGGAGGGGAGAATTATTTTCCAACAATGACTCCAAGTCCGAGAACCAAGAAGAGGACATCTTTTGGGTCCGTGTCTGGATCACTTGCCAGCTCTAAGGCTAGCTCCGTTGTCAACATGAAGCAGATATGAGCCATTGCTGAGTTGGCGTACCACGAATTATGGCGGGAACGGTACACAGCACGTATCTTAGGCGTTTTTGGAAAGGAATCGAGGAAATTAAATAGACCAGGCTACAGCTCAATAATGGAGAACTTCGGAGTCCAGATACACGTTACCGTGTATCTGTTTAGACGGCAAGCTTTTGGATCCAATCTTTGGGATGTCTTTTTGATTTTGAGTCAAGATACAAGAAATTCTTTGAACTTTGCGGCACACATTTGGTATAGTGTTTATATCTGGATTATTGTTCGTAAATTTCATACAGCCCGTCATCTGCTGATCGTGGCATCAGCCAAATTTCATCTGCAGGTTAATGCAATACCCAATGATCCTAGCTCCAAAACTCCAAGCCGACTCCAGAAAACTTTCCAAATCATTAACATCGTCACTCAACCAATCAATTCCATCCGCTTATCTCTACAAAGTCTGCCAAAAGTAATTCGCGTAGAAAAACTTCGAGAATTTAGCATCCATGTTCACCACATGTACATCCCCTTTCTTCCCATTTCGGATAATAGCCTTGGAGTATTCTCCGCTCTCTCTGTCCCTCTCAATATCAATCCCTAGCCCTCTATAGACCTTTAATTTGAGACTAATCTCATCGTCCACCTGGCCTCTCTTTACGTTCTCTCCTCCTTCCATACCCTGTTGTTCCAATTCTTGCAAGCGGGCCTGAAGATCCGCAAGTTGTGATGAGAGACGTTCAGATTCTATCTCTAGGTCACTCGCTGCTTTCGCAATACGGAACTTTTGTGTATCTAAAGTGGCTATTTCGGAAGCGTGTGCAGTTGGGGAATGGGCGGAAACGGTCTCGAGATGGTTGTTGTTGAGGATATTTAAGTTTCTCGATAGTTCTTGATATTTTTAGTATGCCATAGCTATCCTTGATATCCTAATTGGTCACTTACTTTTCAATGCGCCCTCGGCTTCCCTTACTCTGAGATCTCGAGCTTGTTGTAAAGTTGATAGAGATTCATTGATGCGCGCAACAGCGGATTTATCGGGAACAATATTAAAATTGCCAATTGTATGACGGATGAGAGTCGCAGGATCTTCGTCGAGAAGCATATTGTAAATTGTTTGAAGAGAAACTGTGAATGTAGTTATTGTATATTTGTGATCTTGTTGTAGTGAAGCAAAGAGTTGAGGTTTCGATGTAAACAAACAGGGCCCGCTTCTGACAACTAAAAAAGGTTGCAAAGGCAACCTAAAAATCCCACGCGGCCGCACCACATGACGCTATAGCTACTCCATCCAACCTTAGAGCATCTTTAACCATTTCAAGTAAACAATTTCATATCGCAACTTCCATATTCATTTTTTGAAGAATACTAGAATTTAAGAAGAAAGTTTTGAAGATGAGTGGCGGACTTCCATGTAAGTACAAATATGGCTACCGAAATATTGGATACCCAGCTCCATACTCGTTTCAAAGTATTTCTTTATGCATTTCGCCTGGAATCAGTGATGCTAACAAGACTGGCTATACCAGATGCCGCGGATGCTGAAAGGTTAGTTTTTTTCGAAGGGATAATGGTGGAAAAGCTAGGAAAGATCAAGTCTAACAAGATATCAGCCCGTTGAAACCTTCAGAACTCCAAGTTCTAAGAGCGCAATATGAGAAAGAGGGCGAACATGTTGGCGTGCAGACACAGTTCAACTACGCATGGGTTTGTTCATCCTGCATTTTTAGTTTCTCCGGCCAGTTACTAACTGAATTAGGGATTGATCAAATCAAATTCTCGACATGAACAACAAGAGGGAGTTCGCCTCCTCTCAGACATATTTCGCACATCCCCAGAACGAAGAAGGGAATGTCTCTACTACCTCGCCCTTGGCAACTACAAACTAGGAAACTACTCTGAAGCACGACGATACAATGATTTATTAATGGAGAAGGAACCGGAGAATTTACAGGCAAGCAGTCTGAAGGGCTTGATCGATGATAAAGTTGCGAAAGAAGGCTTAATAGGTGTTGCGATCCTCAGTGGTGTTGCTATTGCTGCTGGAGTTGTGGGCTCGATGTTATTCAGAGGTGTGAGTAGAAATAATAGATAATCGGCGATTCGAATTCTTCAGAGGCTCGGATGAACAGAATGGATGTGTTTATACATGATTTGGGGGGCTTTTTTGATATACCATTGGGTGCGGAAGTGCGATTTTGCATGATGAGAACAACTTCACTATTCAATGTTCGACATGTCAATCTTTCAAAATGTGACTTGAAGCAAGTGGATCTATACGTTGCATTGGATGTATGCGATTCATCACAGTCTCGGTTTTGGCTCCGTCCTCAATCTAGAATTCACCTATTCTTTCAGCTTTGGGAATTGTTAGAATGCGTAAGAATGTTGTCGGTTGAGCGTGGTAATGTTTTACCTCTCGTCCCTCCTGCAAGCAAATCCCAATAGACATCATTGTGCGACGACTGAATATTTGAAGCACAAACAATCTTCTAAGCTTATCCAATGTCACACTTGTAAATAACATACTGTATGTACTCCGTAGTACTTAATCTGGAGAATGGATGGATTGTTCGTTCTGAAAGGACCCAGCATAGCCTTGCCACCATCCACTCACAATCTGAACCCCCTGTCACATTTGATAGAGCCATAGAATCGAATACTTTGCGTCACTGACCCATCTCAAATGCATAGAACCACCAACTTCAATGATAAACTTCCCTTCTCCTCTTACTCATACTCTCATACCCTCACATCAACAACAATCTTCAAGAAACTTCAAACCAGTTTCACTTCTTCACCTTCTTCACCTTCTATTTATATCTACCATTGTATGGTGAATTATTATAACGACTTTCAATAATCAAATAATACTACTTTCAACTTTCGTCTTTCGTCTCTCTTCCCCGCCTAACCACATAAATTTCCGATTATCAATCCAAAGACGATCACAACGAGGCAGTTTTCCGAACTACAGTGTGCAATCTTACGCCACAATAACTGCGGGTTGATTTGCGCCTTGTGCTGTTGACACACATTTCAGAGCAATCACATACACCACACCGATTACGATATCCTCAAACCCCCTGTCAGTAGAGGATATAGGTTAACGAGCTTCCCCGCTCTCATTGTAAGATAGTGAGAGATCGAAGCAAGCACGCCAAATCAACCACTCTGGCTTTACGAGCGCTGCGCACGACAGGCCTGGCATTATCTCTCGGTTTGACTGCCCTTGGGGCATACCAAACGTTCAGAGAAGCCATGGCTGACCCACGAAATGCAACTGGTGGCGGTAGACATTTAGATGCTACGGGAGATAGGGAAGTGGTTTACTGCCATCAATGCGAGAATGAATGGTATCAGGATGAACATGGCTTGGTATGTCCAGCATGTGAGGGAGAGATTATTGAAATAGTAAGTCGGCAACTTTCAGCAGCTCTTCGTTTGGTGACATTTCTGATCATTTCATTAGGTCGATCCAAATAGCGACCCTCGTAGTGGCATGGGTAATTCTCCAGAAAATACACCATTGCGCGATCTTGATAATCACAATCCTTGGGCCGATGATTCAGATCCGGAAGAAGCGGATATTGAAGAACACATTACGCATGGTCCAAATGGCTCTATTTTAATTTCGCAAACAATAAGGACGTCCGGACCAGGCCCATTTGAAGCCAATAGAATCATCAATCGCCGAAGGCGGGCCCCAGGTGGTGATGGAGGAGATGATGATACAATGCTAGATTTTCAAAGCATGCTAGGAAATCTATTGGGTCCGAATTTGAGAGAAGCTCGCACCGGTCGATCGGGTCATGATGACTTATTCCCACGCGCCGGAGAATTTCATACGGGTGGTGGTGGAGTTGGTACCGGAATAGGTGGTCGTCAAGCACCTCGTATTGTTGGTGGTCGATACACATTTGAAGGAACGCTTGAAAATGGTCGATTAAGGCCAAGAGATACAAATGGTCCCCAGGGTCAAGGAGCACCTGTTGAGGATTTGTCTACGTATGCACCCCTTAATTCTCATTTTGTCAATATCCATGAGCCGGCGCGCGAACGCAGAGCTCGTACACTTCCTGCTCCCAATCTTGTTGGCATGTTTCAGGCCATACAAACGCTGGATCCCAGTACTTTTCCTGACATCCGTTCTGTTCTCACAGCTCAGTACCATTTTCCTTTCTGCATTAATTTGAAGATCGTTTGCTGACCAAATTACCAGACTTATCTCTCATTTATTCTCTCAAATAGGCGCCGGGCCTGCTGGAGCAGCAGCAGGTGAAGATGGCGAGGCTCGTCGTCCTGGTATGCCTCCTCCTGGTGCTATGGGCTTGCCAGCTCTTCTTCAATCGCTTTTCAATCATCCAAATGCAGTACATGGTGACGCTGTGTACTCGCAAGAGGCATTTGATCAGATCATGTCACAATTGATGGAACAGCATCAACAATCCAACGCGCCCGGTCCTGCCCCTGCTGACGCCATCTCATCCCTTCCAAGAAGGCCCTCGACGAAAAGATGCTTGGCCCCGAAGGCAAAGGCGAATGCAGCGTTTGTATGGATGATGTTTTTATTAGCACTGAAGTTGTTGTGCTTCCTTGCTCCCACTGGTTCCATGAGTCCTGCGCCAATGCCTGGCTCAGCGCACATAATACCTGTCCTATTTGCCGCAAAGGTATCGGAGCTGATGAAGCATCCGCCTCGTCTGCTAGCAATGCCAGAGGATCGAGCAATTCACCGACTTCGCAATCCCCCACCTCTCCAACTAGCCGCCGTGCTCGTCTTTCTCGTTTCAATTCGGAACAAAATGACCGGATGGCCCGAAATGAAGCTCGATTGGAATCTATCCGGAACGGTCGCTTCATGCCCCCTTCCGGCCCTTCCCCTTTACAAAGAAGAGAGACAGAAAGACAAGCTGAGAGGATGACGGAAGATGCAATGGCGGGTAATTTCTTCATTAGTCCTACCGCTCAAAGCGAACATATGCCGGGTTATTTTCCAAGTGATAGTGCATCGACACTTCCAGCTTTTGGTAGAAGAGATTCTGGTATGAGTGCGGGTACAAATGAGCAGAGGAGAGGATTTGGAAGCTCAACGCCGAGCTTTTCAAGGGATAGACCGAGGAGTCAAAGAAGTGGGAGTGATGGTTCGACAAGAGGTGAGGGAGCTGGAAACGGAGGATTGAGTGGATGGTTTAGAGATCGTTGGGGCACTGGTAGGAGGCAGGAATAGATGGGGGTGCGTGCATTATTGAAGGAGTGAGTATGAAATTTTCAAAATGAAAGGATGGATTATGATTGATGGATGGATGGATGCTTTGGCAGAGGAAACCAAAGAAGATTGATGGTAGTGTCATAAAAGTCTACAAAACAATTTTCCGGCATTCCAATACGTATCTATCCATCACTTACGTTATTACAATGCGCTACGATACGATAAGATGCGAGATGATATACACGGGGTTTGAAAGGAAGAAAGTGAGCATGGGGTTGAATCGATTTGTTTCTTAAAAGTGTTCTTTCTTTAGCAGAGCCGAGCTGGACAGTTGACACTGGCCCCTTTTTTCCCTCAAAGAAGTGGCCTTTTCTCTGGACCTTTCTCTGGAAGGAGGGATGGGTGATTGGGTGTGGGTGGGCGGGAGCAAGAAAAATGAAGAGAAGAGAGGATGATGGGATGGTGGAATAGTGGAATAGTGAAGTAGCGTAATGCTAAACAAGGCTGGATCTGAAAGAAAATAACAGTTAGGAACTGTTTATAGTTTTTCTCTCCAGATTACTAGGTAGGTAGGTAGGTAGATGGAAGAATTATGAGATGGCTTGAGTTGAGATGAGATTATATGAAATGAGATTATATGGATGAGTGCGAGGGAATGCGTGCGTAGTGATGGAACATTGGGGCGGGCGGAGAGGGAATACCTACCTAGGTATTATAACTACGTTGTGTTTCCTGACGGGTTTTAGCTTGATGAGATGTGATGTGATGTGTGATGTGTGATATGAGATGTGATATATGAAATGTAAAAGGAGAAAGAATAATATATACAGAATCAGCATTGCTATTCATTTCTCTTCTATCTTTCGATTCCATCGTATTCAATCCTAAAACATTTCCCTGTTTCACTCACTCACTCACTCATATCCTAACCCTATCCTATCTTATCCTACCTACCCTACCCTACCCTACCCTACCCTACTTAAAATTGCATATCTACACGAGCCTCGTACTCCACATCCGCATCCGCATCCGTATTGACAATTCGCACTCGCATAATTACCAGGTGTTATCTTCTCCGTTCCTCCTTTCCTTGTCTTCTCCCTTCTTCCTCCTTCCAAATTCCCATATTCCAATTCCCATTTCCTCATTTCCCCGCTTACTCATTTACTCACTCAGCCTTCTCCCCTAGAAATTCAGCAGTCTAGGAGAAAAGTACAACTAGTTTAGACCAAGGAAGGAAGAGAAGAAGGACTTCACACATAATCACTCAGAACCTGAACTCTCGTCCTCGCGACTTGTGAACCATTATCTCCGTCGCCGATTTTGGTCATAATATCGATCATGCGGACTATTTAATCATCAGCACGCACACTCATCTAGGAACAATTTTTTGGAGTGGCAGAGAGGAAAAGAAAAGAAAATAGACATACCAATATCCCCCTTAGCCCTAACAAACAATGGATCTTTCCCCAATTTCTCCGCTCCATCTTCATCTTTGCCCACTTCCTGCAACGTGTTTCCAATCATCATACATTCCAAAAATGCACGATGATTGAAAACCCACCAAACTTTACTTTCGCTCTCGAAGAGTTCATACAGAAGGAAGAAGGCGTTGATGGCTTCGTGAGCCGCGTTCAACGTTCCTCGAACATCTGGTTGGACCTCGGGACTTTCGCTTGAATGGAGCAACATCACATTATGGAAGTAATTACTCGTCAAGAAGAGTGTTTGTCGCACCAGACGCTTATTAGTTTCTGCTACTACAGCAATGGAATCGCGGTCCCAGGAGCGAAAGACGTCTGGGAAAGAACGATAAACGGCTTTGAAATCAGAAATGAGTTTGTGTTTTTGGCGGGCGGTGGGACAGATGGGAAGGTCTAACGAGCGGGGAGAGCAAATGCTTTCTTGGACGAGGTTGGCCAGAGTCCAACATCCACGGATATAAGCTGTATCGTTTGGATCGCAGTTCGCGATGGAGCCGGAATCATCGATGAGGTCTTCTACGTTGACATCTGTATGTGTTGCGCTTGGTGGGAGAGAAAGCAGAACAGTGAGGAAGGTATCTTGGAGTAGGACTGCTTGCCAAAGTTTTCGGCGTTGTTGTTTGTCAAAGATAGATGCATTTGGAGTGACAATGTTAGGATCGCGATGGAGACCCATGGCATAAGATTGCCGAATGAGTATACCGGCGAATGCCCATCCATCAGAAGCATGATTGTCGTTGATGAGGAAGTATGTGATAAGAACCATGGCTTGGATTGAGCGCATCGAGGCTTTATTAAGATATGACCCGAGACGAAGCGATTGGTGAGCGGCAGATACATAAAACTCGGCAGTTTGTTGTCGTTCTTTTGGTGGAGAATTATTAACAAATTGGGTCCCCAAAGCTATCATGGAGAATATCATAGCAACTAGAGCAGCATCTGTTCTGTCTCTTTCGGGTCCTGCTAATGACCAGAAATGCTCATAATCGGCATAAAAGGTTTGTCTGTGAAGCATAGGATAAACTGGATCGACACATTCGAAATACCGTTCCATTAGGATATCTGCTTGGTCCTTGGCTGGTAACACCGAAATCACTTCCGGAAGTCCCCTTGACATGTCCAATAATTTGCAAAGGGATGCTCTGAGCCAATACCAAAAACATTCGAGGCTTTTGGGTGCGAATATGGTACATTAGAAAGCAGACCGGTAGATGAAGAAACGGAGCCCCTAGATGCACTCCGCTCGCTTGGATCTGGTGCTTGTCTTGGTCGTTCGACAAGGTTTCCTGCTCCAGGACCCAACTTCTTTGGTGGTTTGGTCATACGTCGGGCATTTGCAGTCGTCCTGTTTGTCTCCCTAAAGACAATGTTAGATATCATACAGAAAATACCATGGGAATACTAACTCGAGTATGTTTGCTGTTGGATGATATACGCATTGTGATTGTCGCTTAATACCTAAACGCTATGTTATTATAGTTTATCTAGATTGAAACATACTTATACTGACATGCAAGACAATTTGGCCGACCCCTATCGCACTAGATATCAATTAATATGCATTTCAATCAATTACTCGACAAATGGGAGTATTCAGAGCTAACGCAGTAAGGTTTGTGAACGATACATAATAACACAAAAACCTAAAAGATAAGGTGGGATCGTAATGAGTGTGGAGGTGGATCCCCAGGTGGGTTACAGCAGCACAACCGGGAGAATGCCATCCTTTCCCATATTCTCCGGTGTAATTGTAATTGCAAGACCCATCGAAATGATCAAAGACTGGGGAAAAGAATGGTAAGGTGTTCGTTCGACTTTGACCAAGATAAACGACAGCGTATAGTGCAGTGTGTATATAGTAAGTAGAACATGGAAGCAACTTTGCTTAGAATTTGATCACATATGTCATTGGAATTCAAGAGTCGAAAAAGACATTGCAGAGTACAACTAACCTTTGTTTTACGTTCTACACATTCAACACATGATAAGGTAGGCTTATTACGCTTTTGTCTCTTCTTGGGAGGTTCTGTTGTCAGACCATCTTCCCTTTGTATTGGACTTGTTACTGGAGATGCATTGAAAGTGGTGTCTGTAACTGTCGGGGATGTTGTTGAAGCGTATGCAATTGTCCCATTGTATACGAATGCGGGGGAGATAGGTCCAATAGAGCCAATAGAGCCAATAGAGCCAACAGAGCCAACAGAGCCAATAGGGCCAATAGGTACACTTCTTTGATCCATCTTAAGGAACCAAATTGTACACTTTCTGATTCCCCCTGTATGTATTATTCAGTACCGGCAGCTTGGCTCAATGGGTCTATCAATGTACAAGGAGTGGACTTGGTCGGTTGGTTGATGGAAATAAGAAAGGAAAAGAGCGCAGGCGAGAATGCGATTGATTGTTCGGGAATATGAATAATATTGGGAAAGCTGGACTCGACGACTGAGTAGGGACAGAGTCAAGTGATTTGCTTCCTGAATAAGCAAAAAGCGGGGAAACTGGCATCGGAAGATGAAAGAATTCCTAGTCCATGATGTGTAGCACCTAGATAGGGAGTAATAAGGTTGGCAGGTGGTAATTTTGATTGGGAGAAAGAGAGCTTTCACGTGACAATATCAATGAAAACAAGATATCATTGACATTGTCATGGCCGTTGCCGTTGCCGTTGTCGTTGGCCGTTGCCATTGCCAACTTAAGACTGAGCAAGAGGTTTCTTGACCGATCCATGGATATACATCACACGTATGGACATCTACCAGTAGCAGAAGAATATCAATGTTTGCTGCCGTACCTAACTTCTTATCTATCTCCGGCCACCGACCACCGACCGCAAGGTTCCGTTGGATTGCATGAACCATTCTCCCATTCCATTTCTCTTATTAATTTGATTATATAATATCAGGGGTCCTAACGTGGTTTATCAGCATGTGCATTATATCAGTATGTGCACCACTTTTATCTCAATTACTTATATTACATTAATATAAAATAACAACAACACTATAAAATAGAATCAAATTATATACAATCTAAAGATCAATTAATATTGGATTTAATTGATAAGTTTGTGTATTATATAAAACACTACTATATTTACTATATTATTGTATAGCAGATTGCTTTCTTATTGAAGAACTACTATTTATATATTCATTACATCATATTTGATTATCTATATTCTCTTACTCTAATATATTATATCCATTTCTTATTAAAAGTGCTCCTCCTTTTTGTATAAAAGCCTTTTGAATTCTATAATATTTATTAAATGCTTTATTCGCTTTACAAAGATTATAAATCTCAGCATTTAAAAGCATATTCGTATAAGCTAGAAGCTCTATACCCTTAGCCAAAACTGCAATTGTCTCAAATATAAATATAGGGGAATTACTTAGATGTTATATAATACAACTCTTGACTAAAGTAAATTGAGAAAGAGCTTCAATAGGATTATAAGATATTTGAGATTGCCATATCCTAGGATTGATTGAGATTGATCTATTTGATAAAGTCCTTATTCGAATATCCAGCTTTAAAAGTATAGCTTCCAGATTAAATAGGATAAGCCCAACTCTACAGAACTCAGTTTTCCCATTTGATATAAATATTGCTTTAGTATATACAGTTTTGAAAATTTGAAAGAACTCGATTTTGATAATATAAGTGATATATACCTTAATAAAATTCTCGATCTATCGATTATACAAACACTTTAAAAAACTAAAACAACTAATATCAAATAATTAAATTAAATACAAAGAATAAAATAATAAACCAAATAGTATAATATTGTTTTCCTTGCAGTATTTCCAAAAAGCTATAGATTAATAATTTTCATATCCATCAAGTACTAGTATATAATATCCATCTACTTTTTTATCTATAGTATGCTTATCAAAATACTTAATTCATTCAAAATCAATTTCATTATCTGTTCATCTATTAAGAGTAGGTTTTATAATCCAATCATATGGTAAATCGCTTTCAATATATTAGTTTGAGAAATAATATTTATCTTTAACTAACAGAAACAGAGGTATATTGTAACCCTTTCTATTTATATAAATAATCACTATAGCCCATTCTCGATTACCAGATTGTATAGCTTTACTTCTGCTGTATCAATTAGCTTTAGTGACTATTATATACAATGATATTTATCCCATTATAAAGCTGGTTTCATTAAAGTTATAGAAATCGCAATTGAGAATATTATATTTGACTCGTATATTCACTACCAATCGAAACTACTTTCTAATAAGCTCTGAATCTTTATAGAGAGCTTTTTAGAAATTATAAATATAAGTAAAATGTATCCTTAAATCCAGATATTGTTATATAAATCGATTTACCTAAAGTTTTCCAACTTTCTTATTACTCTTCAATTCCAAAATACTATTTACTATATCTTTTATATTACTTATTCTAAAACTAAATCCTTTATTATTTATATCAAATATATATTGAATAATAACTTTCTTTTCCAAAATAATCAAATTATAACTTTTTGATTAGAATTCTGTATGAAAGATTAAACTATTCATTTTGTGGATAAGTATTGTATATAATATATTATATAGCTTAGCAATTTTTTGAATATTTAGTTTTTTGTTTTTTTGAATAACTTTAATAACTAAAAGTATTTGTGCTTTTTTATTATTCAATTGTATAATGAATTATTGATAAATCGCATATTGAAATAGAAAGATAATAATTGAGATAAAAGTGGTGCATATGCTGATATAGTGCACATGCTGATAAACCATGTTAACATTAGATGTAATGCTAAAGCACCTGCCTAGTATGCTTTCACGTCGCGTATCCACCAACGCGTTGCTCGCGCTTTTCGATAAGGAAATACGTAAGTTACACAATCAGGTATGGAATTGTATAATTAATTTGGCATCTTGAAAATTGTGTGAATAATTCAATGGAACTTACTTCAACTCCAGATTTGCCTCCAACATCTGATCCAGCGTTACTCGAAGATTGGGAGGATTCATTCGACCCTTTAGATCTACCATCAAACATTAAATCGGACGAATTCGAAGCTTTACACTTGCTAGAAGAGGAAACTCGGCGTAGAAAGAACAGAGAAAAGGAAGTTATCCAACATAGAGCTTGGAAAGTCGCAGAGGTTTTTCGAAGTGAGGCAGATCATATTCAGGGTGAGAGATTGGATTTTTCTCAAAAGACTTTGGAAATTATAATGCTTATTTTTGGAAAGAATCGCCAGTTCGAATAACTTCCTCGAAGCAACAACACTCCTTCTTTATACCTTCCTCCCCGCCGAATCTCAAGATGCCTTTAGTATCATCGCCAATCGAATACCCTCAAAGTTCCTCACCACCTCCAATTAAGAGGCCACATCCAGTAAAAGCGTCGGACCTTAGAAGGCCACTCAATGTTGGAGGGTTTCTGTTAGATGATGGCTCCGATGTTGAGGAAGACTTTGAACAGCCTGCGGCAAAGAGACGGATGACTGAGAAACCCACCGATCCAATTATCATACCGGAAGAAGAATCACAAAAAGACCTCGCAAAGGAGATACAACCTTTGAGGATAGGGCCACGCCAAACTGTCGGCGGTTTCATGATTGACGAATCTGATGAGGAAAACGAGGAACCTTCAGTGGTGGAGGGTTTAGGAGACACACAATTGCCTAAGCCTGCCTTCGAACCTTCAACAACTTCTACCGGGAGTAACATTAATACCTCGACGTTACCAGTCTTCCTGAATAACATAACGAGAAAAGCTGGAGACATACAAACATGCTCAGGGAAGTCCTTCTCAATAAACCTTAAGAAGAAGGCTGCACCTATATCGTTCGAGAAACTGGTAGCAGCTAGATCTGTGACAAAAGCTGGGAAAGCAAAGAAGAGTTACTATGGGATAAACATATCTGAGTTGGTTGAGGAAGCTTCAAAGGAAACTAGGGCGAAGGAATCACAGAAAGCTGAGACCGTGAGTGAAATCATACCCTCAATTGAGAATATTGTAGGGAAGAAACCGCGCAAGACATTGATGTGGACTGAGAAATATCGGGCGAGGCATTTTATGGAACTTTGTGGAGACGATCGCACACACCGTCAGGTACTCCGATGGCTCAAAGCTTGGGATCCTATTGTTTTCCCTAAGTCCGGAAAACCTAAAGTTGCACCAACGAAGAAGTTCGGGGAACCAGATGATGAAAAGCCTCATCGCAAAATTCTTTTGCTTACCGGACCTCCCGGTCTTGGCAAAACTACTTTGGCACATGTTTGTGCTAGGCAAGCTGGTTATGAAGTTATGGAAATTAACGCTAGTGATGAACGAAGTCGAGATGTAGTCAAAGGTCGAATTCGAACAAGTGTTGGCACGGAGAACGTCAAGACTGGTTCGACTGTTACATCGAAATCTGGACATGTATCGAAAAATGCCCACCCACTTTGTGTGGTCGTTGATGAGGTTGATGGAGTTGTAGGAGGTGCTGGTGGATCGGGTGAGGGCGGATTTATCAAGGCTCTAATTGATCTGGTACTTCTGGATCAAAAGAATTCTTCGACAGTAGGCGCAAATACCAACTACTCGAAGAAAAAGAAAGGCGATGATTTTCGTCTTCTGCGACCCTTGATTCTGGTTTGTAACGATGTGTATCATCCATCTTTGAGACCGCTACGCAATTCCAGTTTCGCCGAAATCATACATATCCGAAAGCCACCGTTGGATGCTGTTGTTCAGCGAATGCAAACAGTTTTTGAGAAGGAAGGAGTGTCCTGTGATAGTGACGCTATTCGCCGATTATGTGAAGCAACATGGGGAATAAGCCCCATGGATACTAAGAAAGGGGCTGAAGGGACTGGGGAAGGTGATTTACGAAGCATTTTGGTAGTAGGAGAATGGGCAGCAGGGAAACTCAGAACCGAGTCCAAAGGCGAAAGACCTCGCTTAACTAGGAACTGGGTCGAACAGAACATGACTGGTGATCTATCCCACGGTGGAGGTGGATCTCGGGCTGTTGGAAGAGGAGGTATCAAAGAAGTTGTGAACCGTGTGTTCCTGGAAGGAGCCGGTTTCCCTCGACCAACAAGTTTTAAAAACATAGTACCAGACGACGCATTTAATACAGGGCCAAAAACGCAGCTTGGTGTTGCTGAACTTGCTCGGAAAGCAGGTATGGAGCGTCTTGGTTCCATGATCGAGACTAGTGGTGATACAGATAGGATCATGACCGATATTTTTGGTGAATATCCAAATCAAC